GGTCCGGACCCGACGGACCGATACAAGACCATGTTGGATGACTTCCGCGGTCCGAACGTATGCGGGCGGTTTGAGGGTAGGCGTTGGAGATGCCCTTACCATCCAAAGTAGTGGGATAGACACTACCTAAAGTTTTAACCCCGTCAAGCCTACTTTTTACATCTTGACAATCAGATCGAATACTCTCTGAAGTAGTAAGATTATTTAGACCTCTCAAAGCCCAATTTCTTTACCATCATAACTAATATCCAATAAGCCTAAGAGTATTTCATCGGAGGGATTCTAACAAAACTTCCACTTTTAACGTCTTTAATACCCTTTTTATCATAAATTTTAGCACATCTATACTTTCTAAATAGCCTTTCTTTCTCCCTCCTAACTCTAATCACAACAAGCATTCTACCATTATTATTCAATGTGACTTGTATAGCTTCTAAGTATTCATGCATGTCCTATTTAGAAGGCGTGATTCTTATCTTTGAGCATCTCAAGATCATGTGCCAGATTACCAACTTCACGCGCCATGTTGTAAGTTTTTAAAAAATTTCTACTTACCATAATCTTGAAATCTTTTTGGTGTAGTAATGAATTCTCTGATGGCACTGTCAACCTCAGCATGTATATAGCTTTAATAGTTCCACTTTTTCTCTCCAATCCCTCGGTGGATAGGGCAACCTCTACTCTCCAGGATTCGTCTGCGAGCTCGTGCATCCGTATCCCCTCTTCCCACCGCTCTGAAAGGAACTGAGAAATTAAGCAATGTACATATATCGTGGGGGGAAATGTGTACTGAGTGAAATGTTTAGACAATGTATTTACTCATCGGTAACTGACAGAGGTATATCAGATAGAATGTGCAGTGACAGTAGGACTGAAAGAAGAGAATGCGGGAGTCACTAGGACTAGGGTGCGTAATGTTCTTTGAGCTGCAATACAATATTATGTTAGGAGCAGGAGAAGAAACTTATGTAAAAGCAAATTTCATCGAATGTAACTTGATGATAAACGAATACATAGTTCTAGAAAAACAAGAGAACTAAGAATCTTCTAGGGTAATAATCAGTGTATCCCAATAAAGTTGGTAATGACTTCTTCGCTGAATCGTCGAAAGAATCAAATTGATAAACCTGAGTGTGTGGATCTCGCAACAAAGTTCACTCGGAAATAAAAAGATATTCCTCAGTTGGTGCTCGAGTACCATGCGAGGAACGCAGACCATGAACTTGTAAATCGGTCACACAAACGCGAGGTAGAATAGATGGTAAAGAAGGGTTTCCATCAGATGATATGAACTCCACAAATCTGCAAGATTAAAATGGCAAGTACAATTTTTTGTGAGCCCATGGTGAATAAGTAGATAAAATAGCATAACATAAAGAGTAAAAGCAAAAATTACCTGTCGAATAGTAAACTTAATCCATCAAACTTTGTTTGAAAAGGTCACATATTCCTATGACACGCAACAAGCAGAGTAGGCCAAGCTGCAAAGAAGATAAATTGTGGGAATGACAAGTGAACAGAAACGCTATGATTAAAGAACATACAAGATGTTGTAAAGCTTCATAGGTAACTATGAATGAAAATATTCAGATGGAGGCTCGCTCTCGCAATGACCATTAAATTTTTTTTAGAAGATTGAAAACTCTTCTCAACATATATTTTCAGCTATGAATATAGAAAAAAATACAAATTGTTGCAGAGCTCAAAGTGAAGGCCAAATTGTCCACTCCATTGGAAAATAGTCGAGCACATACAAAATTAAATAAAAGATGCCATGCCCCCATGCAGGATTGAACTACAGACCTTCAGTTTACAAGACTGACGCTCTACCACTGAGCCATAGGGGCGAATTTGCCTGTGGTACATCGAAATTTTATTTCTTTATTTGAACCACGATGCTGATTATGTCTACTGATCGCCCTCGCGGTCTCGGCTCTTCTTTCTCCTTCCCTGCCCACCAGTCCACCGCCGCCGCCTCTCCCCCCATCCTCCTCTCCCACCTCCTCCGGCGTCGGCCAGCAAGAAGCCATGGCGAGCCCCGCGCGCATCGACGTGGATAAGCTGAGCGTGGAGCAGCTTAAGGCGCTCAAGGAGCAGACCGATCTGGAGGTCAATCTCCTCCAGGACAGCCTATCCAAGATCCGCACCGCCGCCACCCGCCTCGAGAACGCCACGGCCGCCCTCCACGAGCTCTCCCTCCACCCCCAAGGCACGGCTCGCCCAACCCTAATTCCCTCTTCTCCACAGCGTTCCATCTTCTCGCCCTTTCCACGGGGGTTTGGTTAACCTTTTCCTTTGCGGCTCGGCGTGTGCAGGGAAGAAGCTGCTCGTGCCGCTCACGGCGTCCCTCTATGTACCCGGCACGCTCGACGACGCCGAGAAGGTCCTCGTCGACGTTGGCACCGGCTACTACATTGAGGTATCTTGCACATGATTGGGTTTGTGATAGCTTACAGTATGTTAGTTGGTTCACTACTTCAGCGAATCTCTCAATGTGGTGATACAAATTGGTCATGAGCTTATCAGCTTCTTCGGATATATACGGAAAAAGAAACATAGTATTGGTCGGTTATTGGCGACATTTTGATATTCAGGAAAAACACACGATCAGCAATACAACATCAAGTTGCCATGAAAGTTCCACTATTTATTGCACCAAAATCATCCAAGCGCTGATTGACCTGTCTTGTTCCATGTAAAGTTCAGACTTGTTTGGTCAGGAGAAGTTAATTGTGAAGGTCTCCCAACTTGAACTAGCTGCCAGTGATTTGTGGCCAATTGGGTGCTTGGTGAATGAGACATAGTTTAGAACTTGCTCTGTTGCTCATGAGATGCATGTTTTCCTGGCCTGTAATTTAGGTCTCTCTTTTAGAACCAAGTGAGCGGCGCAGTACCCTAAGTAAACCATATTTATACTCAAATGATACATCTTATTTATTTATTTACTTTATCTGTCGCCTGTCGTATGATTCTTTTTTCTTGTGTGCAGAAAACTATGACTCAAGGAAAAGAATACTGTGAAAGGAAAATTAATTTGCTGAAGTCCAACTTCGATGAACTACTTGAGGTAATATTGACTGACTGCACCGCTTTTGTAGCTACTCATTTTAGCACAACTGGAGGACAAATGTTTTAGCCTGTATTTTGTTAAAATTCTAACTGAATGTGAGTAGAAACACTGAAGATACTGAAGTTCATAAAGCCATTTTGAGCTTGAGTAACTTCTAGTTGAGTGAGGTAGAAATGGTCTCACAACGAAACTTTTAGGAGAATGTTTTCATTCATCTATGCATGTGTGCTGTAAGCTTGTAACATGCAGACCTTTTGGTTTGGTCGAATTTATCTTATATGCTCAGGTCTAGACTTGTGTTGACATACCGACAGCATTCTTTGTAAAAGTTCATTTTGTGTTGCCAGTTGCCACCAGATTAACCTTAGGCACCATGTAACTGACCAAGTTGATGGGAAGATATAATTCAGTGCCGTCAAATATGATTAGTGTTAGTGCAACTGCTCATCATATTAGTATCAGTTCTTACAAAAAAAACTATCAGTATCGTAATAAAAATCAGGGCTTCGGGTTTCTCTAATTTAAGTTGTAGAATACATGGAGCAATATCTAGGGACGCCATTATTGGCATAGAATGCAACTGGTCACAATAGGTAGCATTACCAATGCTTTGTTATTCCCTTAAGCATGTTACAAATATGATATTGTCTACCAGTTTACATTAGTTATGCATATTTTGGTCAGTCACAAGGTCTGAAATGTGAATAGTCTGGTGGAATGTAGTACACAACATTGGGGCTAGCAGCACAAAGCACCAATGTCATTTTGCCAGAAGCTTTTATCATTTACAGTCGGTGTTACTCTGTTAGCAAACTCCTTTTTATTGTGGCGAATTTTCATCGGGTGATGCTCTGGTACGAACCTAGTATTTGATTGTCAGTCGTTTGACAGTGTATGCTGTAATAGGATTGTCTTATATTGATAACGATAGCCACATAAATTGCTAGCTGGTCATCTCTATTTGGAAGGCACAACTTATATTGAGCTGCGCTGCGACTCGCATCCGCCTCCACTGAACTTGACACTCGGCGCTAAATATGATCATGTGTTATAATTCATGTGTCGGAGCTATTCCTCAACTTCAAGGCACATACCTAACCTGAATGCTGTACAGATGATAACTCTATTCTTCATGTGCAGATGGCGACCAAAAAGAAGAGCATAGCAGACGAAATGGGCATGTTTCTGCAAGCCAAGCTGAGGCAGGCATCACCGAGCTCGAGTTCGTGAGAGCAGAGTGCGTGCCCTGCCCCTTGCTTTGTTGAAGCGCCGGGGTAGTTCGCTCGCTCGCAGCCCTCAGGGAACATAGGACGTTCTTTAGCTGTTTTGGCCGTGTGTGCAAATTTCTCTGAGATGATTTACTGAAACAGCCTGCTCTATCGTCAGACTTCGTCCTCGAGTAATTTGGAACTCAGTATCAAACGTGTGTCTTGGATGCACAATCTACACTTTAGTGGCTTTGACAATCAATTTATGAGTTTGTTGCATTTTGATGTCTGGATGCTTGGTTTCGTTTTCACATGCTGTTGTTGCTCTTCCTGGTACTTGTTGAAGCCGTCATATGGTGTAAAAAGTACTTCTACTTGTGCATGCATTTGCCACCATGTGTACCACTAAGTTGGGAACGTTAAAGCAAAAATCTCTGGTTACTATGTTTACAAATACAGCATGAGGAAGAACCACATCGACACAAATTCTTTCCATGGATTGCCTATAGGCATAGGGGCAGATTAAACACCAAGGACAATATGACAACTAAAACCTCCAGTCAGACCCATCATGATGTGCCCAGCGCTGGAGTCCATCCATCATACCTGCAGAAATGCTCGATGGTTTTGAGGTAGTTAAGAGCATCTCCAGCCGTGTCCCCGACACGCTCCCCAAGGTGATTTTTTAGCGCTGGCGGCCGAAAATCGACCCAATCGCGCCCCCAAGATCTCATTTAGCGCTGGTTTAGGCCGAATTAACAGCCAGACCCATCATGATGTGCCCAGCGCTGGAGTCCATCCATCATACCCTGCAGAAATGCTCGATGGTTTTGAGGTAGTTAAGAGCATCTCCAGCCGTGTCCCCGACACGCCCCCCAAGGCGATTTTTTAGCGCCGGCGGCCGAAAATCGACCTAGTCGCGCCCCCAAGATCTCATTTAGCGCCGGTTTAGGCCGAATTAATAGCCAGCGACCCCGAGCCGAACCCAAGCGCCCCCGGTCGCCTGGGGGCGCCGGCAGAAGCAAAAAGGGGCGTGTTGCCGCTCTGTCGGCGAGAGGAGGCCCTTTTTCCGCCGTTTCCTCCAACTTCCCCCCTCGGCTTCCCTCTCATTCTCCATTCCTCCCGCCAATCTCCTCCTCCCTTCCAAGTCGGCCGCCATGCCGCCGAAGAAGTACATGGTCCCCCGCGCCGCGACGGATACCACCGCCGCCGCCACCCAGCCGAAGCAGAGGGCTCCGCCGTCCAAGCCCCTGGGCATGTCTAACGCCGACTGGAAGGCGGAAGTTCAGCGCCGGGAGGCTGTCACCACCGACAGGCGGAATAGGGCAAACGCCAAGAAGGCCCGGGACAGGGTGGCGCTCGCGGCTGCGGTGGTGGCGGAGCAGGCGGAGCGCTCGGCTGAACAAACCGAGACGGCTCGCACGGGGATGATGAATCCACCCAGCGGCCACGGCCCGTACGCGTCCTGGAGCCAGCAAAGCGTCGGATCTCCGGCCGGCTTCTCGTTGTCACCACAACCCTGGGGCTCCACGCCGTCGCCGGGCTACGTCGACGGCGACGCGCACGGTGGGTTCAACCCCAACATCACCTTTCCCATGGTCACCCGGCCCAGCGCACGCCCTCGCCCGCCTTCGCTGACGTGCAGTACCCTCCGTACACCTACTAGCCGCCGGCGTACGCGACCTCCCCGATGCCACCTCTCCGCTGTTGCGCGCTGCTCTTCTCGCAAGCCTCCTCGTCGCATCTCGGCGACACCAACGCGACGGAGGCCGACATGGAAGACATCATCACGACCGGCTCGGCCGCCGCCGCCTCCTTCCCCGGGTTCACTACCCAAGACGACATAATGGACCTCAACGGTGACATGGAAGGCGAGCTCGACTACGGCGAGGAATAGCCGGAGGAGGAGGAGGAGGAGGAGGAGGAGGAGCAGGCGCCTGCTCCGGCGAGGAAAGGGAAGAAGAAGAAGAAACGGGCTAGGACCAGCGAGCCGCACATCAAGTGGGCGTCCAAGGAGGACGAGTGCCTCGCCGAAGCATGGAAAGTCGTCTACCTCGACCCGATCACCGACACGAACCCGAGCGTCGACACGTATTGGGACCGCATCAAGGCCGAGTTCGACGAGTGCAAGCTCGTCGACCCCTACTTCAAAGGCATCTACATGCAGCACGGGTCGAAGGCAATGGCGAACCATTGGGGGCTCATCCAAACGGCGTGCAACAAATGGCATGGGATCGTCGAGGAGATCGCGGCTCGCCCGGAGAGCGGCGCCAGTGTTGAGGATCAGGTATGGCATGCTGGCCTCTCCCTTTTCTTTTCGACGTGCGCACGCCCGTCGACTGATATTCCTCGGCGCAGCTGCTGCGGATGTTCACCATGTTTCGCCAGGACAACAGCGACCAAGAGTTCAAGTACCTCCACGTCTTCAAGCGGATCGACAAGTGCGAAAAGTGGGCGGATGTCCGGCGCACCCTCGCCAAGGCCAAGGAGACGTACAAGCCGGACGCGCCGACGCCGGGCGCGGCTGATGGGCACCCGGACGGCAACAAAGGGGCCAAGAAGGCGAAACGCGCAGAGTCGGCTACCATACGTGTGCGAGAGTCCATCGAGCATTGCCTCGCCGACGCCAAGACCCGTGCCGCCCTGCGGGAAGAGAAAACCGAGGTGCGGTGGTCGGCGTTGATGATGAACAACGCCGTCAAACTCGACTTGCTCCGGACCAACGTCGCCGGGAAGAAGAGGAACACCGACCTGGCTTTCCTGATGGACGACGCGGACATGCTCCAGAGCGGCGACGAGAAGCTCAAAGCGTGGTACCTGTGGAAATAGGTGATGAAGCGCGTGCCTTAGCAGGGGCGCATGTTGCATGTTATATAGCCACCAGAGGGTTGCGGCGGCGCACAAGATACAGGTGGTTAGGGTTTAGGTTAGGTGGAGATTGATCTCTTAAACTAACTACTAGGATCTTATCTCAACACCTAACCTATCCTAACAATATACAACACACGCAATATACAACATGTTTAACACTCCCCCTCAATCACAACTATCTAAGTTGAGATTGCGCCTGAAGGCTTCCAGCTGCCGCACTGACAAGGGTTTGGTGAAGCCATCTGCCACTTGATCACCAGTAGGCACAAAACGAATGTTTAGAAGCTTGTTGGCAACTCTTTCACGAACAAAGTGATAATCAATCTCAATATGCTTCGTCCTCGCATGAAACACAGGATTGGCAGAGAGATAAGTAGCTCCAAGGTTGTCACACCAAAGGGAAGCCGCAGGTAAATGGCGAATTCCCAACTCTGTGAGCAAATTCTGCACCCAAATAATTTCAGCAGTAGCATTTGCTAGGGCCTTGTACTCAGCTTCTGTGCTTGACCGAGACACAGTAGTTTGCTTACGTGCACTCCAAGAAATCAGGTTGCCTCCAAAAAACACTGCAAAACTGCCAGTGGATCTCCGATCATCAGGACAATATGCCCAGTCTGCATCTGAGAAAGCGCTGACCAACGCAGAGTCTGACTTAACAAGTTTGAGACCATGACTCTTGGTTGCTTGAACATAACGAAGTATCCTTTTAACTGCTGTCCAATGAGTACTAGTAGGTGCATGCAAAAATTGACAAACCTTGTTGACTGAAAAACATATATCCTACAACACTCCTATATCTGGTGGAATCCTTAGCTCCAAGCACGTCTCCATCATGAAGAGAAAACTTTTCAGATGTAGACAACGGAGTGGAGGAAGGTTTACAGTCTTTCATGCCCACTCGCTCAAGGATGTCACGCACATACTTTTCCTGAGATAAAAGAATGCCACGGCCCATGTGTTTTACCTCAATACCAAGGAAAAAAAAATTAAGGGTGCCCAAATCCTTGAGTGCAAAATCCATATGAAGGGCCTGAAGAAGTGCTTCAACTGCTCGAGAGGAAGAACTGGTGACGATAATATCATCAACATAAATAAGCATAAAAATAGTTACTCCATGCCGATGATAGAAAAACAAGGAGGTATCGCCTTTGGAAGCAGCAAAACCAAGAGACTGTAACTTGGAGTACAAACGATACTACCATGCTCTGGGAGCCTGTTTTAAACCATAGATTGCTTTGTCAAGCTTGCAAACATGCTATGGTAAAGCTGAACTTTCATACCCAGGAGGCTGCCTCATAAACACCTCTTCTTCTAGAACACCATGCAAAAACGCGTTCTTTACGTCTAGTTGTCGGATGCACCAATTCTGAGATATTGCAACGGAAAGAACCAAGCGGATAGTTGCAGCTTTTACCACAGGGCTAAAGGTATCCTCATAATCAATTCCATACCTTTGCTTAAAACCTTTGGCCACAAGGCGTGCCTTGTATCTATCAATCTTGCCATCAGACTTACATTTCACCTTGTACACCCACTTACAGTCAATCACGTTTCGCCCTCTGACCAATGGAACCAAGCGCCATGTCTTGTTTGCAACTAGAGCGGAAAACTCTTCATCCATAGCCTGCCTCCACTTAGGATCATCAAGTGCATCATGCAGATTCTTCGGTTCACCTGTGGCACAAAAGGAACCCCATCAAACACAACCATCTTTATATACCTTGGGTTTCGCAATGCCACTTTGGGACCGAGTGTGTGACCGAACAGGAGGAGGTGGAACTGGCCGAGCATGTTGTAGCTAGAGACGATCATGTGTGGCTGAAACAGCAGAGTCGGAAGCAGGGGACGCTGGTGCAGAAAATCCCGAGTCCCCTTCTTGCAGAGATCCAAGGGGATCTGGTGCGGCAGCCGCTGGCGAACTGCCACTTGGCAGTTCCGAGTTGGAGGGAGACCGCGCCGCGCCAGGCTCCACACGCCTTGCCTCGTGGGGCGCACGGGGCTCGCGCCTGGTCGGCCCGCCAGGAGACCGCTCGCCCCCCCCCTCACGCAGAGGATGATGCGGTGGGGCGCGCAGCTGGCCCACGCGATGGCTCGGGGCGCCCGCCTCGCCCCTCACCTGCAGGCGTAGATCCCGGCGTGGATTCGCCTGGT